ACACTGGATTTTCTTATTTCGTCTGATAGAATCTCCCAAGAACTGACATATACTCTTCCAAAAAGAAATGCATATGTATATTTTGTACGATTTTTTATCTGCTAGTTTTAAAGTGAGATAACACATGTAATTCTGGATCGGTTGCAGCCAAACTTTACAGCATAAAGGATCAAATGTATGTTAACGTGTGCAGCTTATAACAGATTCAATACGTGAAAGCGTCCGTTCCCAGTTGGGCGTTGTCTTAATACCTGTTGTGGGCCCCATGAGTCCCCACAACTAGGGCTGGGACAGGTAACCCGGATACCTGGGTGGGTAATGAGTTGGACCCGGGTAACCGTCTCAATACCCGGACTTGTTATGATCATGTGACTAATAGATTAAAAAATGTCATATGTTATTCTTTCATGACTGAGAAGTTGTATTGTCTTTGAAGATTTAGACATAATTACAGTCACTTCTTTTGAATATTATACATGGTTAAGATATTGAAAAACTCGAACTTTTAGTCTCCGAGCTGAAAATTCTATTGCCCTTTCTTACAAATTTGATGTCAGAATTTAACATAACGGGTGTCCGGGTAGGGTAGGGTAGTAGGGGGCTTGGTACCCGGGTAGAAAATTTGGACCCGTCCCAGCCCTAGCCAAAACTGTACTCTGGTGCACATTGGTGTAGCGTGCAACGTCTCCCCAGCCTCTACACGTCCAATGGCATTGTTTCGATTTACAGCAGTGACATTCTTTCATTTAGCTAAAAAATGCCAATGACTGTCTAAAAGCAAAACAAGCTTATATAGGCAATGTCCCTGCTCTAGATTCCTCAGAAATGCACGTGCATATTGCGAACCACTTTTTCCCCGTGACATTTTCATGCAAGTTGACACTTTCGAACGTCAACGTGCATTAACGTTTCCGAATATGCGTTTTTCCGCGGTGCTTTCGTTCCATGTGCATAAACCAGCATTATAATGGCGAAATTATAACAATCCAACACTAACTGTGAAAAGTATTTGAAATTTCATGTATCAATATCACCCATGCGTTTCTTTTTAAGGAGAGTATATCACAAACACTTACATTATTACAAAACGAGAATAGTCACAAACGTCATCCTCAATATTCAGTAATACTGCAAAATGACTAATGCTTTTAGGGCGTAATTAGTAAATTCACAGAATGAATCAGTCACAAATTCCACAATTTCACAAATTGACTGAAACGTATACGTGTTCTTACAAATGACCAGAATTTAGACATCGACTGAAACACACACAGCCCCCAGACAGACTCTTCCCGGGGTACACTAACATGTATTCTCTGAAATGAACATATTTTACAGAAATATACAGTTGATATATGATAATGATAAAATATAATGAAAGGGGCCCTGAGACTTTCTTCATTTTCAGAAATTGTGGAAGTCTAGTTTTGCCACATATATCAGGCTTTGCAAGGGCTGTCTTTGATATATTTGTTTCAGGGTCTGTATGACAGACTAGTTCCAGGGTATCAATGAAATACACAACAATAGTAAGTTTACAACATTTATTTCGAACTAAATACACGAAGCACTAAACAACATACAAATATATTCAGTTTAATTGTGATCAGATCACTTATTGCTTTATCTGTACATGTCCAGACGGAAGAAAGGTAGTGATCCTTCACCATGCAGAAATCACATGTCAAACTTAGATAGCTCTGTGATGAACTCTAAACAAGAACTATTATCCGCTGAAGATATCAAAATATTTAGATTTACAGGAACAACTTAAAATATTCAACTCAATCCTTGCGCAAAATATAATACTGAAAAATGCCCGTCTTGTCCTTTGTAACTCCAACGCTTTGGATAAGTGTAAAACTCTCCAAAATGGCGAAATTGGACGACGACAGCAAGACAGGGGTATGTCCAAACACGATTATGTGTCCTCCATCTCGGACAGTGGGTAACAGAGCCAGCAACAGAGCCTCAGCTTCAGCCGACCGAACAACTTCACTGTTCAGGAAGCGAACAAATACAACATCAGCACTTCCGGTTTTAATTTTTGGCTTCATAGCATTCCCACAATGCACTTCATCCACTCTCTGTCTGCTCAAGTCTGCCATCTGCTGGCTCAGGATCTTGACCAATCGTGAAACAATTGGGGAAAGCGGTCTTCATCGCTGACAGAAACACGCCGGTCGAACAGGCAGGATCATATAATCGTGGACCCTTTAACTTCAGGGTGGAGAGATATGTGATTGTGAACTGCCGGATGTGTTCTTCACCATGACTTAACATGACATCAAATGCATCATCTATGGACCATCCCTCGGGGGGCGACCCAAACTCTCTTTTTGTGTCCTTTTTCAGCAGAGGGAATGGGAATACGAGTTCCACATCAGCACAGTTGGTGAGGACGGTGTCTCTGAAAGCTTGCAATTTCTCGCTGCCGGAGAATGGCCGGTAGAATATCGTGTACACATCTTCTGTCACTCTCATGTCAGCATACAAACCAAGGATCATTTCTGCTCGAATAATGCTGCAAAACAATTCTGGTATTTTGTTGGCGATCCAGTTCTCCGATATGAGTTTCCTTCCGACCAGCCTCAGGACAGATCCGTCAACGGAAACATTCAGGAAGAAAATCCCCTGAGGCAGTGCTGAGTTCTCTTCATCCAGTCTCGACACAGGTCGTTTATCCACATCTTCCAAGTTGATGGCGTCAACTGGAGACACCTCGCTAGGTATTCTGGACATTTGATATCGTTCCATTTCCTTCAAAATAAGATCGACAGTATTTCCATCATCAGCGTACTCTGTAGCTAGTTTTCTCGCCTTTCGGAAGAGTGAAATACTTGAGTCCCAGTTGCCACTTGCCAGTGTTTGCCTTGCCTCTAGAAACACCTTCCTGGCACCGACACACTGGACGAACTTGAATATCCCATCATAATGGTCAATGGCACTTGTCATGTCGGCCATGTCGATCTTGTCTTGAATCTCCCCCAGACTACGTGTGGCGACTCTTCAACGAAATGTGCATTTATGGAGAAATCTGGAATATAAGCTGACCTGTGTCGTTGACTACATGGCAGCACTAGCATTACTCCAGTTTGATAAGATAAGACCGGTGCTACTGTGTCTTACACAAAATGTGACATTTATCAATAAGGCTTTGTTTCATGAGTGACAAAGATTACTAACTGGGCCGTGATTACACAAGTGCATTGCTTGTAAGGACAAATTTCATGGATGAAGAACTTCGTATTCAGGTGATGCGACATTTCGATACAGATTCTTGTATCGTTGTCAAGCACTAATCTCTATCGAAACGTTGCATCACCTGAATAAAGAAGTTCATAAAGTTTGTCCTTATCTGACTCTCCAACTTCTAGAAATGCCACTCAAAGAAGTGCATTACTTATTCAATGACGCAACTTGGTTCTTTACAATTGTTTGGAACTCGCCCTTACACTTAAATCAACATGTTTTAGCCGTAATCATGCTCTTTCGTGAGACCTACTCACTTATGTTTTCTCAGTAATTTTGTTTTATTGACGATTTCAATTCTATGTCATGCATTAGATTAACATCAGTATCACAATTGGAACAAATTGTGACTGTTATCACAACTATCACATTTGGGTATTTCATGCCTCGTCGCTCGTCATCGTCATTTGTGGTACCGTTTGTTGTTTTTGTTTATCTCTGTGTACATGAGGACGTTGCTTTATGTAACTGGACAGAATGCGGTGTCAACAACAAACTACTCGCTGTTGGTGTTATAATTATACGTTGCCTTGTCGACCAAGGCGCTGTGCAGAGTAGCGTTCCTTGGGCGCGACAGAAACCGACGATCCTGAGTTTGACTCACCCTGATTCAAGATTGTCAGTATCAACGCAGTGATCACTCGTAGCCATGTGGCTGAGATATTGTGGCGAAGCATAATCTCCACTCATTTATCAGTCACTCACCAGTGATCATCAAAGTTGACAGCGTCTGAAATCGACATTAATCCGCTTTCACCCAGCATGAAGTTAAAACACGCCAATGTACATGTATTTAAAATCTAAATAGAGTCTGTAGTAAAATGCGCTTGTTTCGGTATGAAAGCTATATAAAGTAGCAGATGTGTGTTAAAACACGTTTACAGGTAGAAAATCACAACATTATGATATATACTAATATTCGCTCACAAGCTTCCTATAATTGTGTACTGCTGGGTGTATGACTACACCCGTAAAGATCCGGGTAAGAATTGGTCTTCAGCAACTACTGCTTGTAGCTCAGAAACGTCGTGTTATACAATAAAGACGAAGTTGCCATTCCATATACTGATACTCGTCTTATATATTCACCAACTTCTAAATGCCTCTCAAGAATCTCCTGCTTGTCGTAAGAGGCGACTAACGGGATCGGGTGGTCAGGCTCGCTGACTTGGTTGACACATGTCATCATATCCCAATGGCGTAGTTCGATGTTCATACTGTTGATCACTGGATTGTCTGGTCCAGACTCAATTGTTTACAGACCGCCGCCGTATATAGCTGGAATATTGTTGAGTGCGGCGTTAAACAGCAACTGAACTGATCGGTATATATAGACCAACGCTTAGTCACTGAATATATATCATTTTGATAGAAACAAATAATTCCTTTTGAATTGAAAAGGCGCCCCAGTGATGGGAGATTCAGAGCCTGATTCACAGCCTCGACTTGCTTTATTTAGGGCTTTAGCAAAGGCTGGGCGGAAGGGAAAATAGTGCGGTTCAGGGACTGTGAGACAGACTATAATACACAAAAGTCAACACATTTAGCTGAGGTCGCTAATTTGTGCAGTTATAAGTGTAGGAACGGGGATAACATTATTTCAGTACGTTATTTACTGTATGAAGCGTCATAAAATCCGTCCAGGGGGCGTAATTTACACTGTTTCGAAATGAATGACTCATCGAGCGCACCTGTTTGACGGACATTGCCGGAAAATCACGAGTGGATTACAAGTTCAAGGACCACAGCCATATTCCAAGATGGCGTCGAATTCTTGCCCCTCTAGCCTGAGGGAATGCAACAGCCTTTAGATCATCACCGGAGAAGTCCACAGCATAGGTATGTATCAGTTATGCTCTTTTTGGATTAAATGTGTCAAAGACTGAAAAACAACTTGATTATGGTTGTGATTATTCTCAAAAGAATGTGTGTGTGTATGTAAACAAGACTGTTCCGCAAGATCCCTGCTGTCAAACTCGGCACGACTTTTACATGTTTCTTTCTCAATAATCCGCCTCCCTCATGGTATGAATAAAGTGCATATACTGAAACTTAAAGTATATCCTTATCTGTTATTCATTCACCTTTTAGTTTTGTTCATACATCCATGTTCAGGTATTGTCATTTTCCTACTCGATCAGTGTTCTCTGATCAGAACAAGCCTAATCGAATATTGCCTTGGTCAGTTTAGTAGGTAAGACTTTAGACATTGACGTAACATAATATTATCAAACTATGTCAGTCATAAATATATCTGCAATCACTTGGAAGAGTGGAGGAGGTTTGCTTATGGATTTTCCACATGATATATCTTTTGGGTGTGCGAAGTACTACAGGTGTAGGCACATGTACATACAAGTTATACAATAAAGGCTACTGCAGACTTTGTCCCACAGGTAAGCATTTGGAAGTCAGAGTTGATGCATGACTGCATACAGGTACATTCTTGTATAATCTCGCTCAACAAGTCTAGCAGTATTTCTTATTACTGGCAGGTATATGCTGCATATTTTATTTGACATAGTTGTGATGATCAAGTGGTAACTAATGATATGAATGTACACAGTGTGTCCTAGCTGTGGCACTTTAAACAAGGCCTCAGTGTGGACTCCAGTTCCGTAGTCCCCAGCAGTTTATGTGTGTCGTACAGAATCATTACAAGGATCAAGTGGGCAGTGTTGGTGACAGGGTAGACTAAGGCTTAGTCTCTGAATATATATAATTTTGATAGTAACAAACAAGCCCATTTATATTGAAAAGGAGCCCTAGGGAGACCAGAGATTCAGAGGAAATCTAGACTTGCTTTATTTAGGGCTTTAGTACTGCAGAGAGGCTTGGCAGTAGGGAAAATATTGTGGTTCAGGGACTGTGAGACAGACTAGTGACAGGGCTGTAAGTTACGATACATCGAACTATCAATATATTGCAATTGTTGAGTCTCCGATAGCAATTAATCGATGGTAGAAATAAAAAAAACTATCGATAGCATGTGTGACTATCGATATTTTAGTAATGGACTTCCGTTGATAAATGCTTATCGCAAAAAACAGGAAGTACCAGATTCATTCACTTAGATTTATAGTGCAGACTTGCAGCTTCATTGAGTTTATTTTTTAACTGTTTACCTGATCTTGGTTCAAGTATCTTGTCAGTTATAAAAAGAGACTGAAACTATTTCAACTTGTTTTTATTTCATATAAACTATACATTCATTTGGGAAATGACTTCAAATGAGACAATTCAAGGAGATGAAACTATTGCAATAGTATTGCAAATAGTTGGTCGCGATAGTCTATCGCAATAGCATGTTGCAATAGACTATCATTATCGCAATAGTTGTTTCCCCACAATAGTCACCCCTATGACCGAGTAACATGTTACTAGGACTGTGTGGGTGATGCTCACAATGTCAGTCACAGGTTTGTGTGAACCAGATATGTTTATCTACAGGCAGCTGTACTACCAACTTGTGAAAAAATTCATTTTTACTGGTATTTAGAGCTTCGTGGGGAGATCTTGTTAATATACTGTAATGCCAGATGTCACATGATATTTGATCATATTTACTAAGGCTGATATGATTCACTCACATATTCACTCAATTGAACCGTATCCCTTCATGGATTCAATTTGTTATTCATGATTACTTGTATCGAATATTCTTGGATGTTTTACGAAGGAGTGTTTTACTTGAATTTGGTATTGTTTATGAAAGAGAGATATGTTAAATAGAATATATACAACCCAGGCAGGTTAATAATCAACACCCTTATATATTAAATTTGACATTGTTTTTTGTTTTTTTGCTATTGTAGTTGAAAAATTGCAAAGGGACACTAAACAGTTAATTTGAAGATCACTCATGAGGGATGGTCTACATGATCCAATTATCAATCTTTGCAGCAGAAGCAATTCCAAGTACCATTAAATACTGTACAGCTGTCACTGTGTGAAATTACATAGTTTTCAGAATAGAAGTATGTAAGATGTATGATGCTTGATGACCTCCAATTATAAAACTAACCATTTTGACCTTTTGGGGATTCAGGTTTGATTGGGTCCCAAGCCAGTACTCTGTTGCCGTGGATTGGGGGTGGGGAGAGAGAAGAAATGGGGTCGAAAGTTCACATGTGGTTATCTGTTGGTCTGTTATCTACCTGTAGACTCTGCCCTGATAACACTGGACTAGCATCTCTAACATCAGTTGTGTATGTGTATCTCAGAGGTCACTATTTGTTTATACTTCCACGGAACAACAATGAACCCAGTATATAATGACCCAGCATGCACTTGTGTATAAAGTATTCATACCATTCTGTGCCCCATATAATGCACTACAACTGAAAAAAATATTGTGCATTCAGCATTATCTGGTCGGACATGCAATGATTGTCCTATCATCTTATATATAGTTTAGTGATACAGGGATGGAAATAACCCATTGCCCGACGTCTGAGTCCAGTGTTTTTCCCAGTCGGGCAAGCAAATTTGTATATCACGCTGTACCAATGTCGAGTTGACTTTCCAATGTTAATTATGTTGTTTATTTAAAAAATCAACAAGAAAATCAGCCGGTATAGAGGCAAAATTATCAGGGCAAGTGATTTTACATGTGCCACTGTACCGGTGTACTCTAGCAATTTTAAAGTTATTTCTACCCCTGTGATAACATGTGAAAAAGATGCTAGTTACAAAAATGAGTCTTAGACATCAAAGCTTCATACCAGCTCCACAACTGGAATTTTCAAAAATAGATCCATGTTTCTGGAAAAAACAGGCCTCTCCACTGAATTCAATGTATATTTTTTGTATTACATTTTGCTGTCTCTGATTGTTCCTATGTCTGATTCAGGGTTTAATAGAGATTCATGTTGACCACAGTTTGTAAACATTTTCTACTTTGCTCAAAGTGCTTTGTTCAGTAATGTTATTCTATCTTACCATGTTTACCTGCGATTTTCAGGGTAATGATCATAGCAGCATGGATAAATAGTGGTAAATAAAACGAACCCATTTCAACAATGATCCATGAACAGTCTTAATGTTATAGGATTTGAACTGTTATTTTTGTGATAGGGACTTACAACACAACCATTAAACATGTCAACACATGTTGCAGGGAAATTGTCAATATATATAACCTTGTTGTTTTGACAACCAGATTTAACATGTGTATATTCCTGTTTTCAAAATAAGGATTTTATTCATACACTTACAGTTTTACTCTGAAATAGTGTTATGATGATGTATAATCACTAGATCATGGCTTTAACATGTACTGCCATGCACTTTGCTTGTACACTTGATGCAAAGCTGTGTGTTGTCTTACAACCTTTTTGGACCGTCACCATGGTCTAGTAGAGAGAGCATCTGTAAGAGGTGTGCATCCTATCCTATCCTGTCTTCTCCATGTTGAACTGTATGGTGGCTCAGTTGGCCAGCAATGTAAACCAGGCATTAGTGAGGACTAGTACAAGCAGGTCTGTGTCAAAAACTCACGTCTAGTATAATTCTGTTGGTCCTTGTAAGCTTACAGTCAGTGCTGACAGACGTTCAGTCATCTGCTGTTCACTCCACTATGCATCTACCCCTCACCACGCATCTAACACACACACACACACACACACACACACACACACACACACACACACACACACACACACACACACACACACACACACACACACACACACACACACACACACCTCCCCTGCATCTCCCCTCACAACGCATCTACCCCTCCCCCCCTCACCCCGCATCTACCCCTCTCCCCGACTGGAGGTGCACACAGTCTGTGTCGAAAGCACTGAAACTACTGGCCTGAACACTGCTCTTGGCATCATTTTCAGTAGTTTTAGTGGTCAGGTGCTCTGACTTGGTTGACACATGTTATCGTATCCCAACTGTGTAGATCGATGCTCAAGCTCTTGATCACTGGTCTGGTCCAGACTCGATTATTTACCGGTACTAACCGCTGCCATATAGCTGGAATATTGCTGAGTGTGGTATTAAACACCAACCAACCAGTAGTTTTAAGAGTGATTGTGTGGACTTTTAGGAGCTATTTTATGTCAACCCTACTTTTGACTCCAAGTTGTTAGGAATTAAATTTGCCAGAGTATGTTTGTATATAAGGAAATCAGATATATACTATTTGTATCATTTCATCTAGCTAGAAATATGTGAGTTTCATAGTTTCACATCCCACATTAAAGATTTTTCCTCCATTGTTATCATGTAAGTCCACGACAAGGATCGTGTTCCAGTCGGGGGTGGGGGGAGTAGATGCGTGGTGGGGTGAACTACAGATGATTGAACGTCTGTCAGACTGTAAGCTTACAAGGGCCAACAGAATTATACTAGACGTGAGTATTGGACTAGTAAACATGGTAATGCTAGTACTGAAATCACTTTTCATTTCACATTTCATACACATGTGACTCATGAAGATGCGGGTTAAAATTGATGTTCAGTAACCCATGCTTGTCGTAAAAGGCGATTAAAAGGATTGGGTGGTCAGACTCGCTGACTTGGTCGAAACATGTCATTGTATCCCAACTGCAATCAATGCTCATGAAGTTGATCACTGGATTGTCTGGTCCAGACTCGATTATTTACAGACCACCATCATAAAGCTGGAATATTGCTGAGTGTGGTGTAAAGCTAAACTTGCTCACTCATACACATGCACCCTTCAGCACAATTTGTTGATCTTGTTCTAGTTAAAATGTTGTATGATGTTTTTGCTGGTGTTACCTTGTCTGTAGTCATAAAGATCCCCAAACAAATATGTCCAATTATACAGCAAACATATGTCTATACAATTTGGTGAGTATGTA